CTTAAGCATCAGAGATTCTAAGATACTTACTCTGTGACATGTCCCAGAAATAACTAAGATGAAAACAAACTAGAGGCTGGACTAACCTCCCAAAAATATTTTAAAAGAGGCAAAGTTATCCTGAAATCTAGCCATTTTTAAAAAGTGAGTCTGAGGGGTCACACTTGCCAGAAGCAAAATGCAGGACTATGTAGCACTTTAAAGACTAACAAGATGGTTTATTAGATGATGTGCTTTCATGGGCCTGACCCACGTGGGTCTGGCCCACGAAAGCTCATCATCTAATAAACCATCTTGCTAGTCTTTAAAGTGCTACATTGTCTTGTAGAAAGAGGTGACTTTCTACAATATGCACAAAGGGGAGACCCTCTTGTGCCTTAAGCAGAACTGATGGAAGTCTGGGAAAAGGCTGGTTTCTTTACAATGGACATGTGCCTTTCTCTGTCCACTCCACACTTTCAGCATTGAAAGCACAATTAACCACTTTACCCAAGCATAAGCTGATTCACTTGTTTTTGTTTGCTTGCCAGTAGAAGTGACAAAACAGCAGTGGTGGGGACAGAAGAGAAAGAACAGGACTGCTTTGAGAATGAATTGCAGCAAACAGCAGGGAGATGGAGTGGATAAATGAATGGGTCTTTTCCTTCTCTAACTTTTAGGAGAATACTGATCTGCAAGAAAGAGTGAGCTGCACTGCCTAAGTACAGCTCAGCAGACACTACAAATAACTGCACAAGACTGAATACCTTCAGAATTGAGGCAGGGGGGAGAAAATCAGGGAATGTTAAAAGGAAGCATGAGTTAAAATGCCCTGGGGAATGTAAGCAGTGCAGCCCTTCACCCAATTTGCATTTCAGTAACTGAAGCAAAACCCATAAAAGAAACAAAACAAAATCCACATACACATTAACAAAGAGGAACACTGTCAGATTAAGAGTCAATTGAAGACACACAAACCCCATACACAGACAAGTATTTCCACCTGCACTGCCACCACTTTCAAATTTAAAATAAAACTATGTAAATTATTAAAGCTGAACATTTTTGCCATTTCATTTGCTTTTTGTTCAGCAGTCAACATAAATTTGCCAATTCACTGACTGCTCCTAGTCCACTTCACTTTCTGGGCCTCAGACTCCATGCCACTGTGCTTGCCTTGCAAATCCTGCAAGCAAATCCTGCAAGATAAGGGGTGGGGCGGGAACCTACTTAAAATTAGGGAGCAATCAAACTTTGAATTGAAGTTTCAAAAGAGCCCAAGCACAGTAAATAAATGTTCAGGCTTTTGCTTACTCCGAGTGCTCCTTTAAGCAATGACCAGCCCCTATATGAGTGTCAGAGTTCCCACTGTTTGTAAGTTTCCCTGGACAATGCGGAGAAATAGCCAGAGTGTTGGTGGCTGCTGTGGGGCTGAGAAGGGTTAGGAAGAGACAGGACTGCTACTACAGACCTGTGTCAGAGCCAGGGCACCAGCTCCTCAGGAAGAATGTTCAAACCCCAGGATTTCCCCTGCCAAATCCACACTGCTGTCAAGCCCGAAACAGGGGCTTTGCCTTGGTTTTCCTGACAGCTTCACTAGCCAAAACCCCAACATCTCCCCTCCTTGATGGGAAGGTCCTTAAAAGTACAGATTTCCCTTCCAGAGCTTATTAGGTATAAACAATAGCCCACTGGTGGATAAAGTAAAAAACATTAACACACACAACACCCCCGACCATGGTTTCTAGCTTTCAAAGAGTCAGCGTTACTTTCAGAAAGGAGACAGACAGCCCACAGACTGGAGTTAAAAACAAAGCAAAGAACAGCACTTGACACACGTGACAACTTGGTGTCAAACGATCTAATAGTGTCCACAGAACACGTGGGTGGAAGGAAGGAGATTCAGAATTAGCCCTCAAAGTGTAGTAGAGCAGCACATTCCACAAGAGAAGAAAGAGGGTTTCTTCATCACACGGGCAGCAGCAGCAGCGACTGTGTTTTCTTCATCAGAACTGTAAGCCACACGATTTCAACAGGATGCACAATTAAAAGAAGAGTCCATAAAATTTCCCCTATGAATATAAAATGTAAAACTATACAAAAATAGATAAAATTGACCTCTCTCGTATGTATAAAAAAATCCCCAATGCAATACAGAAATACTTGGTAGTCTGACCTGAATGTCAGAGGGCTAGACTGCATGTGCAATTGCTACCATTAACATGTGGGGGCAAGACATTTCGCACAAGTGTCATTCTTGCTAAGTCCTGCTGGCTTTAACGCCTTGGCAGGACAACTGGCTGCTCCTAATAGCAGATTACTCAGACACCACTTAAACTAAACACCTAGGATAAAATTTTCCAGTTTGTATGCCTAAAGCTAGCCCACATTCCACCAGAAAAAGAGATGATTGCTTGATCCCATACTGTGATAAATGCTAGCAAGAAGAACCCAGGTTGGCAGATTCTGGCAATGGGATTTACAATTGTATTTGTTTTTCACCCTGCTTGACTTAGTGTTGACAGAGCCAAACTGCACACCTTCCAAAACACCCACCACCCAGAAAAGCTTTTTGTGGCATCAGAGTCCCTGACCCTACAAAAACAGCAAAGTATGCATACTCATTTAGTCAATATATTGTTTTTTAATTAAATGGGTGGTTAACTTTTTTTAAAAGCAGTTACTACACACACTTAGTAATCAACTGGCAAGCTAGGAAATTAGGATAGCTCTCCATCCTTAATCAGCCCCATTTGTGTCAAGATCTCTTTTTGAAGGGGGGGGAGGAAGAGGATGGGGAAGGGAGAGAAACAAGAAGGCTACGTCTACACTGGCATGATTTTCCAAAAATGCTTTTAACGGGAAAGTTTTCTGTTAAAAGCATTTTCGGAAAAGCACGTCTAGATTGGCAGGACGCTTTTCCGCAAAAGCACTTTTTGCGGAAAAGCGTCCGTGGCCAATCTAGATGTGCTTTTCCGCAAAAAAGCCCCGATCGCCATTTTCGCGATCGGGGCTTTTTTGCGGAAAACTGTACCGTGCTGTCTACACTGGCCCTTTTGCGCAAAAGTCTTTCGGAAAAAGACTTTTGCCCGAACGGGAGCAGCACAGTATTTCCGGAAAAGCACTGAAGATCTTACATGAGATTGTCAGTGCTTTTCCGGAAATTCAAGCGGCCAGTGTAGACAGCTGGCAAGTTTTTCCAGAAAAGCAGATGATTTTCCGGAAAAACTTGCCAGTCTAGACACAGCCCTTCTGTAGTAGAAACACCAGCTGTTTCACATTAAAATAACAGGGCAGGAGAAAGACTTGGAAGCTTGCCCCATGACATTCATTCAGCTCCAGGATAAAATTAGCGTAACATGATTGGAGGGGTTGTAGTGGGTTCCCCCAAGATCTCTGCTGAAGTAAATAATTCCTTCCCCTACTACAAAGCTTAAAATAAGCTGAAATTTGAAGTGCACTTCTGAAACTTCTGGTTTTATTAATGATCACTTAAGAAGTTACTTTTTGCCATTTCAACCTATCTGCTTTGTTAAATTAGAAGTTTTATCACCATGGAAGACCTGGTCCTATTTATCCCTCAACAGATAGAAGTTTTAGCAGCATTTGTAGATTGAATCTCATAGTCTTATACCCCCTTCCCAGTTGTATATTTTTAAAGTTTAATTAGAATATTGAAAATTCTTGTTTCTTAATGGAGCAGAATACTCCAATAATCCAGTAAATTAACACTAAAATGCTTTAGTAATATATAATTTTATCATTTTTCTCTGTTAGAGTCCAAATCAAATTAAGAATTTATGAAAAAATGGAAGAAAAACCTTTGGTATAAAGTCAGATTATCAAGTCATAGCTGTATTGCTTTCACATTAGTGTATAGAAACAGTTTACAATGGGTCTTCCCATTACGTACCTACAACCAATAGAGACATGCATTCACAAGTGAACATTCTTTTTAGCATGGACACATTTATGCTTCACCAAAACTTTTGGTAAAGGCTGCACCATTTAAAAACAAAAAACACAAAACAAAAATCCACATTCACAAGAGGTCTTTGGTGACATACTCAAAATAAAAATGTAGTGTAAGAGACTTGCTCAGAGCATGAGAAAGTGAATGTTGCAAATGCTTATCTGTGGAGTAATGTCTTGGAACATGCTAGCAACATTTTGTTTCTGAAGGACAGTAGATAGAAACAGATCTGAGTTACAAAGTCAGAATCTGGATTCACCTAGAATATGGCAATGTTTGGATCTGGTAACTCCTACAGGAGATTCTGATTAATACACCTAAGCATTCAATTAGGACAGTACTTTACAAATATACTTATGCCTCACCCGAAGTCAAAGGGACTTGAGCACCTGCTGAATAGGGATTTATTCCTGAATCAGTTTGTTTATTTACTCACTGAATAAATCAGTGAGTCAGGCGCCAAGGAAGTTCACTGTGTCTGCCATCTCTTAGACTTCTTCCAGGATAAAATCAGACAGATGCACCAAGAATATAAATTCATTGTAATACTGAATAAACTCTCAATTACCAATGGCAGATTTTACTGTAACTAAGAGCAGAATTTGTCCATGCAAGCCTACCCCCCCCCCCTCAAAAAAGTTGCATGATTGTAAGGGAGCAGAATGTATCAACATGCCTGGTAACATTCAGTCATGTTACCATCCCAGTAATACAGAGGAATGGAGAGTTAATCCAGGTACACCACAGAAATTTCCCATTTTATTTTTAAGGGGAACTGAGAAAACAAAGAGCAAGCCTGATTTTGCTGCTCCTGTACAGATGTATAAAAAGGTAGCATCTTACATTCTCTTTCCCATCTGACACATCAGAGCCCCACTTAGCTTTCTTTGCTAGAGAAATTAGCATTTCATGCCTTGGCGACAATGTAAATACAGTGATGGTGGAGAAAGTTGGTTAATCATCTGAAGAAGTGGGTTGTGTTCACGAAAGCTCATGATGCTATCTACGTGTTTTGTTAGTCTTTAAGGTGCTACTAGACGATTCCTTGTTTTTTAAGTTTTTCCTGTTACAGACTAACTCAGCTATCCCTCTTAAGCTTTTAAAATGTAGATGTTTGCTAATCTATTTAGGAACAGGATTCTAAATGTGTTCTATAGATGGGACTTTGAGCCAGCGTATGCAAAACCATTCTATACTACAAATTTGAGCCACGTTTGAAATGTAGGTTATGGGACAAGAAAGCAGTAATCTGATGTAACTGGAATTTATGCAGATTTCAGAATCATCCTTAAAGCAGGAGATACACACAGATATGGTGTGACATCCCTATTCGGGTCCCCACAGATTTTGCCAAAAAGAAAGCAGAAAGAGGAGGACCTGATATCCCTAGTTTAAATTTTTTCAATTTTATGTTTAAACCATTGAGAAAGTCTCTCTACATAAAAAAAAGCAGAAAAGGGCTTTTTTTTTTAAATTAAGTGTGCTGTACTTCACCAGGAACCAAATTAAGTCCAAATACACAAACCTTGACTGAGCTCAGACCGACTTAGCAAATTACAGGAGGAAGAGAGATCCATACAAGAGATTGAAATCGTCCCTTCCAGTCCTAGCATTCTATGATTTAAGACTGACAAGGACAAAAGAGTTTCCTTAAATGAAGACTTGAGCTCTGCTCCAATAGCCTGAAACATATGCTTTAGGGATTTTTGTCTATGCTAATAGCCCTCTCTCCAGAGCAAATCACATCTCCACAGCTTGCTTACTTCCTCAATCTTCCCTATAAGATGTGGAGAAAAAGGATGGCAGTAGGTCTAGCTTTGTCATTTCCTCCAGATGGGAGAAAGAGAAATTGTGAAGCCTAATTTAGGCTGTGTTACATCCCGTATTCCAATTAACAGAATACTTTCCTTTATGAATTTATGCAAAGAAAATAAAAATTAAAAACACAACTTCCTTTTGAAGAAAAGCATCAATATCTGCAACTTAACAGCTACAGGCATGATCCATATTAGCTTATATAAAAGACACTAATCATGTCCTAGGGAGAATGGGTAAAGCACAGAGGAAAAGCTGAACACTATAAACGATGATGTTTGATCACTCCTAAGAAATAAGGGAATTATTGACATTTTATTCTTAAATTGACACCATCAAAATGTAGGTTGCTTTTGGAAAAGGGAGAGGAGGGCATGTAAATCAAGTGAATTAAAAATAAAACTGGTTGAAAGACTTCCTCCCTATTGCTGCACATGAAGAAAGGAAAGCAGCTTTTTGACCAAATGAAGATTTATAGGAAAGTTCTCATTTTGAAATGTTTCCTTTTTTGAATGATTTTTTACTTTGATGGGGAGAAAAAAAAAACACAACACACACTTGCCATATTTTCTCTCACTTCTCCACTGGGAAGTCAACTGATGAGAAAAAGTAGAGAAAACATTTCAAAATTTGTCAAAAAGAAGATTCACAGAAAGTTAGTAGTAACAAAAAGCTTTCATTCCTTTTGAATATCGCTTTAATTGTTGAGACAGGTGCAGTACCTGCAACTACTTAAGTCTCCTGACAATTTGTAGCTTTATATCCACTTGTTCCTATTTTTCCCCCATGTCACTGTGTGAAAGATCCACATAAACAAGGGGAAAGTGACCACATGTGAAACCTCTATCAAGTGAGTGTGTATCAAGTATTGCCAATGCACAAAAACATTTGGAAGATTTTATCATCCCTCTTATGCTCCAGCTACAGCCATTTCGTGTTAAAGACATTCAGACTGAGTTACGATTTTTGGCAGTTGATGGTGTTCCTTTAAATAGATCTGCAGAAAAACAGCCTGAAGTGGGATTCTGTTTCCAGGTTTTATTCCAGCAGCAACTGTACTATGTGTTGATACTTGCTCTGCGCATGTATTAGAGTCAACAGAGCGATGGCTCACATTGAACCCCAAAAAAAAAAAAAAGTGCTGCCTCAAGCTTTCGTCTATGAAACTAGGAAGTGGCCTAACCACAACAGAGCACCCACAGCAGTGCAGAACACCACCAGCATTTTGAGTGACTACATACTGTTCCCGACTGCAACTGCAAGAGAGAAGAGTTCATCTTTGTCGGACCAATTCTAAATGAAAACCACTTGTTGAAATATAGCTTCCCCCTCCCACCACCCCATGTCTCCCTGAAAGTTAACCCTTGGTTGCCTTCCTTCTCCCCTCCAGGATTAGCTATTTGGCTATTGTTACATTCACTGTAGTGCTTTGACAGCTAACAGGCAGCATGTTCCCATGTGTGGGTCCCCCTTTCAGCAGGTCTGTACTGGAGCTTCCATAACACTCAGCAAAGAAGGCTGTGGGTTTTAAGGTCTCAGTGCCACTGTGAGACTGGAGTGTTCCTTGTGTGATGCCAATAGGTTTGCACTTTTCTGGTTTGTCAGGGGACTGAGTGAAAGCGAAACTCTGAGGTAAGTCAGCCCCTTTTTCTCCCAAAGGTAGCACACGAGCCATCTTTTTGGCCATATTTTCTCTAGGATACCTGTAGGAGCTAGACATTTCTTGGGCCTGCCTGGTATCAGTCTGCAGAGGTAAATTGGATGGTCTGACCAGGTGTCTAGGAGTCTGCAGCATTAGATTACTGCCCCCCGTATCCTGGGGCATTTTGTTCCATGCAAGAGACACATAAGGGGAATCCACTTCTGAATGCTCAGATGCATCCCAGTTGCCTCCGATGACAGTAGCCCTTGCAGTCGGAGTGCAGCCCCACTGCTTCTCTCCCCCTGAGGGAAGCTCAGCTTTGTACTCTGCATGCTGCAACTCTGGCCAAGTAAGGACGCCATCAGCTTCTCCTCCTTCAGAAGGAGACTGTGGAATGCTCTCTTTGCTTCTGCTCAGCCTAGGCACAGAGTCCTTTTTGCCACTGTCCTGTTTAGACCAGTGCTGACAAGGCTTAAGGCCATTCTTGGAGAAAGGCATATCTGCAAGCTCCAACTCCAAGCTCTCCGTGTCAAGTGATCTGCTCCTTCTGTTGATGGAGAGTGGTGCTGGCATGGAGGGGCTCAAGCCGTGCAAGCGCAAGTGACGGGGAAGGCTGCCAACACCCCAGTTACAGCTCTGGAAAGAGTCTTGGTTATACCCCGAGAACATTCGTTCATCACATTCGGCAAAGGACTCCTTTTGCACATAGCTGTCATCGAAGGCCTCAAAGGATGCAGCAATGTCCTCGTCAGCATTCATCTCCAGATGCTGCTCACATTCTCCTTCGCCTTCCTGCTCCACATCCACTATGTCAAAAGTGACCATGGTTGGAAGGACGGAAAGGTTTTGAGTGAAGGAAGAACCCGAGTCCGAGCTACCAAGGCTTTCAGAGAGGCTGGAGAAGAGAGTGCCGCTGCTAGTGAACTCAACCAGCGCCTGAGAGAAGTTAACAGCATGCTCGGGCTCACATTCGCTTTCTGTCTGAGGTTCCCTGAAGCTGTTTTCCACTCTGCTGTGGTGTTCATTTTGCAAACAGCTATCATGGTCATGTGTTCTGTAGTTGGGGTAAGCCCCGGTCATAGTTTTGGCTGGGACTACGCTACTTAGTCCCGCAAACACTCCGTTATCCAAATCAGAATCAAACACAGAATTGTTTTTCATGAGCTGAATAAGGCAACTTCCTTGGGCTTTTTGGCCATTGTAATACTTTTCTGGACACTGTGTCCCTTGAAAGTCCCTCCACTCAGGATTTTCCAGTCTGGACACTGAAATCCCAGCATCTACACTTCTGCTTAAAACTGAAGAAGCAACTTGCTCACTACCAAGGCAACTTTGATTTTTGCCAATTAATTTGGCTGCTCTAGTATTACATTCAATGTATTGCTTGTCCCTGGGACATTTCTCTTTGCTGGGGGCATCCAGATGTTTTGAAACTGGTTCCCTCCGAAGCTCCCAGTACAGCAGCTGTTTCTGAATGGCAGCTAGCCTCTCTTCCTCAGTCTCCATCACTCCACTGCTCTGCCCCATCATCTGAATAAGGTTCTTCTTGGCAGGAACAACGAAGTCTAAGAAGCAGCTGAAGATCTCTGGATGAGATGCTTTGCTTTCAAATAAGGATTCGTCCCCAAGAGATGGGCTCATCAGGGTGTCATCAGGCTCATAAAATTCATAAAGTGCATCACCACTGTAACTGTCTCTTGGGAGACGGTCTTTCTTGATTTCCCCAAGTTCATCCTCTGGCCCTGGTGTGGTGGAGTCATAATAACCCTCATCACTATTAGGTGCAGATTCTTGCTGGTCACTGGGCGGGGTTAAGAGCTCTACATCATCCATCACACCTCCAGCATACAGATGGGCTGGCTTCTCCCGCAAGCTGCATGTCTCTAGCTTGTTAGTCACTCCCTGCAGCTTAGGACTGTTCATACGCTGGGGCAGTCTAGCTTCATAGCTGCTGTCTGCATCAGGAGTGCCATCCCACAACTGCTGGAGGTACTCTTCTATCTCCTCCTGTGTGGCCATCTCCTCTCCCCCACCCTGGTAAGTGACAAGGCAGGAGCTCCTCTTGGCAGCATCTCTACTGCGCTCCACGGAGATCGTGCTCTCAGCAATGCTGTCGATATCTGGCTCAGCAATTATGTCTCCACACCCAGTGAGGGAATCAAAACTTTTAAGGGAAGTAACATCTCCAAAGATCAAACTGAGCTGGTCTCCGGAGTGTACTGAAGGAGGGTCGTTGTCCGGGAAGTCAGGATGGTGCGCGTCAGGGAGACTCTCATAGGGTGAGCCGACACAGATAACAGTCTCTGAGTCTAATTTCACATCTAGAATATCATCTTTGCCCACAGGTACCGTTGCTGCATCTCCCTCTGAGTTGCTCTGACCAGCCATGACCCAGTCGGTGGTTTCTCCCAGGTTGGTCGTTGGGCTGAGTGAACAGCTACCACCCAAGCTCCCTGCACATGGTGCCGGGAGAGAGGTGCCCCTTGGACTCTCCTCCTCAGAAGCTCGTTGCGTTTCAGCCCCCGCCCCTTGAGTTTTCTTGGCTTGCTCGCCCTCCCCGCTATCAGCAGCCCATTCCGCTTTCTCAGACTCGCTGGCTTTGTTCTTTCTGTGGCGCCGGATGCTGTTG